CTGTTCAGATGAAAGGGGCTGGGGGGAGCCAGGCTGCAGAACCACCGCCACCTTCAGAACCACCAGCCTCCGCCCACAGCCACTCCTAGAAACAACTTGTAGCTCTGGCCTCATGGGCGGTGCAGCGTCCTTCCTGCCAGCTGGTCCTCTGAGCTGGGCAGGTGGTTAGAAGAGGTGGTCCTCATGGAGGACACCCCACGGGCACCTGGAGACAGATGCTACCTCCTGGCTAGGGGCAAAAGGCAGAGGTGAAGGGACTTGAGGCCCTGAGGTTTGGCGGTAACCTTAAGCCAGGGTGCAGTCCTGGAGGGGAGGAACACTTCAGGCCGCGTCAGCAGATCTGGATTATAAATCAGTCCGACAGCAGCTTTTGTTCTGTGTTAAAACTTGGCATCTGAAAAGTGGAGACCAGAAGAGTGGTGGAGATAACTGAGAAAAGCAGCCCAGTTTGGTTTCAGTAACAATCGGGTCTTTGCTGGTACACATAAAGGCCCCTTCTCCCTTGTTGGCCAAAGCCACGTTTCCCAGCTCTTTTCCACTAGGAAAAAGACAAACGCTGTGGCCTTGGAGATGCTGCAGATAATGACTGTGGGGTGGGCAGGGAAGGCCTCCTGCTTCAGCTGACAAGGTGGGAGAAGATGTGTCACCCTCGTGTTGATTAGAGACCCCCATCTATTCAAGCGGGGGGGTAAACTGAGACGCAAGGGCCCTCACTTGTGTTCTGTGATTTAGATTTTTGCAACTTGTCTTGATGTACATTTTCTTACTCCACTCTTTAAAAAGTAAATAATTTGGAAGACTGAGACAGGAGGATCACTTGACCCCAGGAGTTCAAGACCAGCCAGGGCAACATACTGAGAGCCTGTCCGTACAAAAGAAATTATTTTTTTGAGACAGAGTCTCACTCTCTCGCCCAGGCTGGAGTGCAGTAGCACAATCTCGGCTCACGGCAACCTCCACCTCCTGGGTTCAAGTGATTCTCCTGCCTCAGCCTCCCAAGTAGCTGGGATTACAGGTGCCTGCCACCACACCCGGCTAATTTTTGTATTTTTAGTAGAGACAGTTTTCACCTTGTTGACCAGGCATGTGCCACCATGCCCAGCTAATTTCTGTATTTTTAGTAGAGATGGGACTTCGCCATGTTGGTCAGGCTGGTCTCGAACTCCTGACTTCAGGTGGTCCACCCGCTTAGGCCTCCCAAAGTGCTGGGATTACAGGCGTTAGCCACTACACCCAGCCCCAAATTTAAAAGAAAAAAAAAACTAGCGGGGCGTGGCTGTGTGCGGCGGCTCACACCTGTAATCCCAGCACTTTGGGAGGCCAAGGAGAGTGGATCACGAGGTCAGGAGATCAAGACCATCCTGGCTAACATGGTGAAACTAAAAATACAAAAAAATTAGCCGGGCATGGTGGCGGGTGCCTGTAGTCCCAGCTACTCGGGAGGCTGAGGCAGGAGAATGGCATGAACCCTGGAGGCAGAGCTTGCCGCAAGCCGAGATTTCACCACTGCACTCCAGCCTGGGCGACAGAGTGAGACTCCGTCTCAAAAACAAACAAAAAACTAGCGGGGCGTGGTGGCATGCATCTGTAAGTCCCAGCTGCTCAGGAGGCTGAGGTGGGAGGGTGGCTTGAGCCCAGAAGGTTGAGGCTACAGTGAACCGTGATTGTGCCACTGCACTCCAGCCTGTAGAGCGAGACCCTGCCTTGACAAAATAAAAATGTAAGTATTGTTACTCCCCTTTTGGAGATGAGTCAAAAAGATTAAACAACTGGCCCCAAGTCATGGAAATAAAAAGGTCAGAATTTCTTTTTTAGAAATGGGGTCTTGCTCTGTTGCCCAGTCTGGAGTGCAGTGGCACAGTCATGGCTCAACGTAACCTCGGACTCCTAGGCTCAAGCGGTCCTCCCCCGTCAGCCTCCCAAGGCTACAGGTGCATGCCATCACACACGGGACAGGGTCTCACTATATTGCTCAGACTGGAAAGGTCAGATTTTTAAATCAGGTCTTGGGACTCCCAATTCTGTGTTTCCACAGTCGCCATCTATCCTGACAATGCTCCGTTTCATGCTGTTTTTCCTCACCTTCAATACTACTCCCCCATCCCCCCACCTCTAGGTGTGAAGGTTGCCAGGTAGAGACCTGAGCTCTCTGGCTCTGACTCCAAGGTGGCCTCAGTGGAAAGTTTCAAAAGGCAACCGGTTTGGTTTCACTGGCAGGGCAGCGGCAGGCGTTTGGGTTCTGGAGGCCCAGGGATGTAGAAGCCTCCAGCTAATAGACTCCACGCGCTTATCCTCCCAAACAGTCTCAGAAGCTCCCAGCTCCCTCCCCTTTTCCACCTTCAGGCACCTCCTGCTGTATCCCGTCCATTCCGGCACTGGCCCTTTCTGTGGGGGTGGGCAGAGGATACAGTTTCCTGCATGGCTACTTGCTCATGATTCATACTTCTAAATGAAAGTACAACGGACAGAATAAAAGGATTTCTGGGTCTTCGATTAAGACAAAAATTACTAATCCATGTACTGGGGGTGTGGGGAGGTGCATGTACCTGGCTAGTCTCCCTAGGGCCTGGCATATTCTATGGAAGGTATCCACACTTTGGGACTCAGGCAGTGACAACTGCTTGTGGTCAAGGAAAGACTGAAATTGTGCTAAATGCCTCTCAAGGGTCTTCAGAGATCACCCAGCAGCTCAGGCCAGCCCCTAGAGATGACCTAGGAGTCTCTCCTGAAAAGCAAGTCCCCTTCCCCATCTCTTGATGTTGGTTGTGGGCCACACTGCCCTTCATTTGAGCTACTCGCCTGCCAGCTCTCCTGAGGCAGCTGGAGGGAGGCCCGGGGTGGATACTGGGTTCTCTGGTGAACGCTGCCCGGTGGATTTCCAAGGCAGCCAGGACTGCTGTCATCCCCCAGACGGGGAAGTGAGAAAGCCTGGGTCAGCTACCCTTCAAGGGTCTTTCTGAGCGCCTGGGGACCGCGGTGACTGGGGACATGGGCATAGGAAAAGAACTCTCCCTCCCTACTTCCTCCAAAGGAGAGTTATCAAAGCCGCCCACCTGGGACGCCTTTCCCTTCCCAGCCCCTCCCTGTCACCAGGACCAAAAGGAAGCAGGAAAACATCCGTCATCACAGCCCCGGATGCGGATTTTCCAGTGGCTCCTATCAGGATATCCCTCAGCCTTTTCCCAAGGGCTTAGGGATCTGGAAAAGTCAAAGATCTGGAGGGCAAGTGGTCATCGTGCCAGCACCACTGTGAACATCTGGACCTTGGGGAGGCCGAGTCTCCAACTGATCCCAGACTAGTTTTAGAAGAAATGGTCAGCTCCCAGCCAGTCCCAGAGAGGGCCCATTACACACCCCAGGGGACAGCATACGCCCTTGGGCGACCTCACAGTGCACACCTCTGCTCGGGTTACAGCCAGGTCTCTGGAGGGACTGAGCCGTCACCGACACCTCCTCTCCCCTTGGTATCTATTTCTATCTTGGGGATGAGTATGTTGGGGGAGCAGGAGAGGAGGGGACAGTGGGTAAGAGCCAGGACTGGGGAGGAAGGCTCCAGTGACCAATGCTGATGGACAGCTCGGCTCCTTCTCAGAGCCAGGTAGGGCCACCTTCCAGACCTGGAAACTCCCGTTTAGCCTCTCAGGCGTCCCTACTTCCTCTTTGCCCTTGGCAGTAGGAACAAAGAAGGGAAATTTCAAAGGTGATTTCCAGGTTTCCAGAGAAAAGTGAAGAGTTACAGATGAACTGTCAGTGCATGCCGTGTGGAGCAGGGCAGCCCCGAGGGCGGGTGGAGGAGGCTGGCTCACCGGAGTCCCTGCTCGCTCACTGGAGGATCTGAGGTTGACCTGATGCTGCCGGGGCTTCGGTGGTGCCCGGGCCATGGGGGCATGTGACGCGGCCGGAACAGAAACCAGAACTCTCACAGAGGTCACCTGGCACCTAAGTCACCCTGGCCGAGGGTTTCTTCCACCTCTCGTTTGGCAAAGGCTGCCAGGCAGAAAGGCATCCAGTGTGGTATCCAGTAGTACTGTGCTGTGCGTGTGCCCCTGAATAATAGATGCCTCCAGCTCCTGGCGTTCTGGGGACGCAGTGAGTGAGGCAGCTGTCTGAAACAGCCCCAGAGCTGGTGAACTCCACTTGGGGTCTGCACGTGGAGCCACTTGGCCTGAAAGTCCTTTATTTTGGGGGAATCTCTCCTAGTTAGCCCGCCCTCCCTATCCCTGTGCATGAGCGCCAAAGAGAGGGACGCATAAAAGCAGAAGAGTTGTACGCAGCCGCCGTGGGAGCTGGCAGACAGCCAGGGTTGAGTTGAGGAGTGGACACAGTCCAGTGTGGCAGGGGCAGTCCTCTGCCACTGCCTAGCTACCTTTTGTGCCACCTGCAAAACCCCATCCAAACCCAGAAAGGGTCAGGAGGGGCCAGGGACTAAACACGGATTCTCAGGGTTGGAGGAGTGTGCAAAATAGATCTCCAGCGGTATCCTGGAGCTCAAAGGGCCACTCACTCCTCAAGGCGTTCAGGTCAAAACTACCTAGGACCCTATCAGGAATCAGGTCCCATGAACTCATCTGGGGCAAGTCAGAGGAAAAGCAAAAGCTGCATCTGGAAGTGGCTTCTGAACCGCCCCCACTCCTGAGGCTGGGGAGTTGATTTCAGAGCTCAGCACTAAATGGAATTAAGTGTAATTACAGCCCTGATCCACATTTCACTCTGTGCCACCTCCTCAGCAGGGGCGGGGAATGGGGAGTGGTCCCACACTGGGTCCAAACAAACGTCCCGTTCCTGGGTTTTGGACAGCTCTTGGGCCACAGTGGGCTGTGGGGAGCACTGCCCCTCCCCGGGGACTTGCAGACAGCCCTCTGCTACAGGCGGGGCCTGGGCCTGCCCCAGTGCCGTAACTGTGGAGCTGAGAACCCAGCGAAACACAGGCAGGAGCATCAGGAGACTGGACGCTGGCATGAGCCCTCGGGACAGGGACTGAAGGAAGTGTTCTAAACCACTGATGCTGAAAGACTTTAATGTGCACAAAGAAACCTCACATTGGTGACAGGGAGAGAGAGGAAGGAGGGTGGGGAGGACGGAGGCCCAGGGAAACCAGAGCTATGGAGACAGAGGCCTTAGGGAAGAGATGGCTGGGAGGAGGGCTGAGGGGTGGGCGAGGCAGAGAAGCCCATCCCTTGCTGAAAGGAGAGGGTGTCGGGGCGGTGGCAGAGGCAGGCTCTTGCTTCATCAGGCTGGTCAGCATGTGGCCGCCTCTGGCCTTGATGCTTCGCTTCCTCCAGTTCCCTGAGCCTGTTCACTTCCTGCTGGAGCCAGGAGCCCTGGGCTGCCCTGACCCTGCTCTTTTAGATGTCTTTCCAGGGGCTGAAGTACTGGGCCTGCGGCGAGGAGAAAAGCAGGCTGTGAGGGCCTGGGCCCAGGTGTCGCCCACTGCCCTGCAGGCCCTGCAGCTCCCCGGGCTGGCGGTGTCCATTCAGCACCCGTTGCAGGCTCATGCCAGGGACCGAGTGAGCAGTATGCCTGGGTTCACAGTGCTGGCGAGGACACAGCGGTCATCAGGCTACGTGACTGTACAAGTGGTCTGCCAGGGCCCCCCTGCCAGGCCCTGAATCACTTTTCCTTCTTCTCGTGACAAGCACGCTGCTCCCACCAGAGGCTGGTGAGATCTAGTTCCTTGGGGCGTGAGGGTGAGGTTTGTTCTCTAGCCTTCTCAGAGACTTGGCGAAATCTGAGACCCAAACCACAGGCTGTGGCCCACGTGTCAGCCCTAAGTCAGAGGTTATGGGGTAAGGACGGGAGAGGAGTCAAGAGGAGGCAGGCTAGGAGTAGAGGGGCACTGGTGGTGGGGTGGGAGGTGGTCCTCACAGGTCCTGTGCCCCTCCACAGAGGGCTGGGAGCTCAGGCAGGGAGACCCCGAGCCGGCCCAGCAGGGTGCTGCTTGGAGACATGGGGCTGGAAGGAAGGGCACCAGCACAGGGGCTGAAGTTGGTTAGGTCAGAGGCTTGGGAGTCAGGCTGGCTCATGCCCTGATTCTGACATTCACACAAGCTGCCTGCGTCATGGGGGTAAGCCATCGAGCCTCTCAGGGCCTCTGGTTAGTCTGCTCCTCTGTAAAATGGGCTCCTGGTAACACCTGCCTCATGGGGGTTGTGTGGGTTCTTATAGAAACAGATCTTCATTCAAGAAACACTAGCTGTGAATATCACACCTACAAGCTCTGAGAAGACTCGGCGGGGGTAGGGGGTGTAGTGGAGAGGACCCAGGCAGCCTGGGAGCCTTCCTCCTAACACAGCAGGCGGCCAGCCTCAGGCCCACAGCACAAGTGGGCAGACGGTGAACAGCTGGGGCCCCTTCCTGGCACTGCTCGTGACAGCCTGGCACTCTGGTCCAGACTTTTCCCTCTCCAGGGCAACTTTCCTTTGCATTTCCCGAGGACTGCGCTTCTCTGTGTCCCCTTTCCTCCGCACCTACTCTGGGCACTGGATTCTTTTTTTTTTTTGAGATGGAGTCTCGCCCTGTCGCCCAGGCTGGGGTGCAATGGCGCAATCTGGGCTCACTGCAACCTCTGCCTCCTGGGTTCAAGCGATTTCTCCTGCCTCAACCTCCAGAGTAGCTGGGATTACAGGCGCCCGCCACCATGCCCGGCTAATTTTTTGAATATTTGGTAGAGACGGGTTTCACCATGTTGGCCAGGCTGGTCTCCTGACCTTGTGATCCTCCCGCCTCGGTCTCCCAAAGTGCTGGGGTTACAGGCGTGAGCCACCATGCCTGGCCTTTGGCACTGGATTCTTGATAAGAATGATGAAGGCCCCTCAAGCGTCCCCACCCTTCCCCCACATGCCCGCTCCACCCACGTCCCTGCCAGGAGCTCAGCAGCTGCAGCGAGGGTGGCTGCGCTGGTGGCTCTGGCCAGCCCTGCCTGACCACTTCCCGCCCCTCCCAGGTCTGGGGGCTGGGGGGGCACCACCTGGGGCTGGCAGTGGGTCAGAAGCTCCTGCCAGCGGATGTAGGTCTGGGTAGCCAGGTCCTTGAGCATGGTGTGGTGCGTGGCCTGGGGGCTCTCCCGGATCTGTGCGCTGATGTGGCGATCCAACTGCATGCACAGCAGCTGCAGCTCGCCCTGCGGAGGCGGAGGGAGGCCGAGAGGCGAGTGTAGCACGAGCCAGGCACATCCAAAGCAGGGCAGGAGGAGAACAAATTCAGACAAAGGAAGGGGCACATTTGAGTGACTGTTCAGAAGCTGAGCAGGAAGAGGAGGACGGGGCCAGCACAACTGCTAGGGCGCTGGTCAGTGTCCCTTGGGAATGGCTCGGCTGGTGGGGCACCGTCGGGAGGAAAAGGCCCTGGCTCTCCCGGGCTGGCTTCTCTCTCAGCCTCCTGCTCTCTGCAGTTCCTAACAGTAGGCTGGGCGCCATCCCAGTCAACCCCACGCCGCTTGGGGGAGAAGACACAGCTGGGCACCCCCACCCCAACCCCGGCCCTTGGGAGACTCACCCACTGGTCTGGAGTGACGTCCCGGCAGCTGACAACCACCCCGGCCAGCGTCAGAAGGCTGTGGCACAGGTAGCAGGCCTGGAGGGAGAGCACAGGGGGAGCTGCTTCTCCAACTCCGCCAGGGCAGCACGGCAGGCCAGGGCGGGGCTCACTCCACCCCTAGGCGTTCAGCGACAGTTTCCAGGGAGGCATCTTCAAGGCGGCCTGGGTGAGCCAGGCTCTGGGCCCGCACTCACTCGAAGCTGTGACTCCCTAGCAGGCTCTCCCAGCCTGCCCTCTGATGAGGTGCCAACCTCCGTTCCTCTAGAAAACGGAGTCAGCCATCCAGAAACACACACTGTCCCCCAGCCTTGTGCCGGGACAACAGAGGACACCTTCTGAGCGGAGCCTATCCACTCTGACCTCCGCAGTCTCTGTTCCCCGGGCCACCCTTACCCGTAGGTACTGAGGCCAGGGTGCCTCTGTGCGAACAGCAAAGGGAGCCCCCTCTGGGGGGATGTGGCCCATGGCTCCTGGACTCGGCTTACCCCTTGGCAGAATGCCACCTGCACCAACACGGGTGTAGCCTGCCTGGACAGTCTCCTTGCTGACCCGAGGAGGCAGGTGGAGAGACGGGAGCCGATGGTTCTGGCTGAGTGTCTGCACACCTCGCCTCCATCCTCATTCCTGCCAACTGCACACTCTCAAGCAGTGAAAACAGGACGCAGGCCTGCTCCATCTGGCCAGAGAACAACTTGATCTTGAGGCACCCCCGGACTCTCTTGGTGCCCATTCGCTTATGGGCTACGTGCTTGCCGTTTAGAGAAACCAAGTCATGGGGAGTGTCCCAGGGCGTGAGGCTCCAGGAGGGACGCAGCCTGCTCTGGAGTCCCAGTCACTGCCCGCAGGTGCGCCCTCCACTCAGAGGCCCCGCTGCCTTGTCCTCTCAGCTCTCTCTTCATGTCTAGGATCAGGAGGTGGCAAATGACCAGCCCTGCGGACAAGCAGGGGTGGGAGAGGTGGGCTCTAGAGATGCCGGCAGGTGACAATGGGCTGGAGCTCAGAACCAGCCCATGGCCCCTGTGCCCCGGCTTCCCCTGACCTTATCACCCTGCCCTCCCAGGGCACCAGGCAGTGCCTCAGCAATGGCTATAGCTTCTTTGCACAGGCCCAGGAATCTCCTCAGGGCAGAGGCCAGACCACTTCTCAGGGCATCAGATTTGGTGCCATCAACTGACTTCTTAAACCCAAATACCGGCCAGGCACGGTGGCTCACGCCTGTAATCCCAGCACTTTGGGAGGCCAAGGAGGTAGCCGGGCATGGTGGCGGCGCCTGTAGTCCCAGCTGCTCTGGAGACTGAGGCAGGAGAATGGCGGGAACCCGGGAGGCGGAGCTTGCAGTGAGCCGAGATCACACCACTGCACTCCAGCCTGGGTGACAGAGCGAGACTCCGTCTCAAAAAAAAAAAAAAACCCAAATACCACAGTGTAAAATCCTGAGGTCAAAGGCCACCTGAGGCTCCCACCAGCAGCACCCACCCTGCCTGGGACCCAGCCTGTTCTTCAACACAACCGTGAAGGCCCACGGGCGGTCTGACTCCACAGGCTGACCATGTGGCCCTGCACACGGCACACAGAGAAGACACGGTGGGGGAAACTGAGGCATGCCTCCAGGAGAGCTGCCGTGGGGTGGGGAAGACCCAAACTCTGTGAAGCCTAGCTCCCTCTACCTGCCGGGTCCCTGTAGCAGCCTGTGGATTCCCCAGTCGCCCGGCCCAGCTGGCCTGCTGGTGATGCACTGCTGGCTCCCTAAGCTCCCCTTCCCTCCAACCTGGCCTTGCCTTTGGGACTCTGTCCAGCCTTCGCAGTCCTGTAACAGCTCACTGCCCCTTGTCATAAAGCAAGTTTGGGCCTGCGTGCCGGACACTATACCTTGACTGAGACACGGCGACGTGAGACACTCAGGCATTAGAGAGAGAAAGATACTTCAGGAGGGCAACCATTTGGTCAAGAAACAACGTATCTCAGCTTCTGCACTGACCAAAAGGAGAAAGGGCCCTTCCAGAGGTTTGGGGGTATGGGGAGTACAACTTAGAGGCTTCAGGAAGTGACTAAGCTAAAGTGAGCCCCAAAGGAACAGTAGGAGTTGAGGCAAAGATGGCCCTGTGCAGGCAGAGGAGGGCTGATGACAGACCCTGAGGGCGGTTCCAGAACCAGAGGCCGGCACAGGTGCAAGGGAGTCAGGGTGACCTGGGGGCAGAGTTATAAGGACAGGGGGTGCCTGGGGGAGGCAGGTGAGAGAATGTGGCCACACTGGTGTGCTGGAATGCACTAGGCAGTAGGAGAATGAGCTCCCTCTGGGAGAAAGGATTACAGGGTAGCCTTATCTTTCCTTTTTCCTTTTTTAAGATTATTTCTCTACAATGTGTATACTCATACAGTGAGAATACAATGAAAGCTGCTTTAAAACTTTTTTTAACAAGATACTGCCAACTGTAATTGACTGAACCTAACTGGGTTTGGGGTGGGCGTGAGGCCTGGGAGCGGGACTTGGCCATGAAAAGAAGCTGAGACCCAGGCTGGGTGAGGTGGTTCATGCCTGTAATCCCAGCACTCTGGGAAGCTGTGGCGCAGGAGTTGGAGACCAGCCTGGGCAACACAGCGAGACCCTGTTTCTACAAAAAACCAAAAAGTTATCCAGCATGGTCACCTGTAGTCCCAGCTACTTGGGAGGCTGAGGCAGGCGGATGACTTGAGCCTGGGAGGTTGAGGCTGTAGTGAGCTCTAATTGTGCTATTGCACTCCAGCCTGAGCAACAGAGCAAAATGGTCTCCAAAAAAAAAAAAAAAAAAAAAAGCTGAGGCCTGTCTTTGAGAGGGCAAGCGAATGATGAGAGGTGGCAGGGGATGCCGAAGAAAACATCCAAGGGTTATCAGGGACATCACTGAGAATGGCTGGGGAAGGCACCCTGGGGTCTGCAGGGGGGAGACTGTGTGGGCCTGGGAGGGGCGAACGGGGGCCTGTCTCTCTCGGACCTTTCAGTCGTAAACACTCCCAGCCCCGGATGGCGCAGCTCAGTGGCCCGCTCCACCCATGCGCTCTCAGGGGAGTCTCCCTGTATGTAGGGGGCCCGGCTGCAGAGCTTCCCCTCCTAGAAGGAGTTGTGGGGAGGGTCTGAGATCCGATGAATGCCCTGGAGGAGTATCAGGGAGGAAAAATCAGTGGACTGACCCCAGGCAGTGGAGAGTTACTGGTTTCACAACTTGTTTCTGATGCTGATTTCACAACTTGTTTCTGATGCTGATTCCCATAATTGAATCTGCAGGGGGCAGGGAGGGGGAGGGGAATCCCAGGAAATCGATTCCCAGTGTTTGGGTGGACAGTGAGTAAGAAATGGCAGTCCTGGAGAAAAGCCCTGTGAACCACATTTTATCAGCTGTGTTTTCCAAAGGGAAAACACGAAACCTGCCGCACTGCCTGGAGGCTGGGTGCGCGTCCTCCTTGCATTTGAGGGTGCTTCCTGTAAGGAAGACGTTGACCCAATTTAAGGAGCTTGGTGGCTGTGCAGATGCCTTCCCTTGGAACATTTCCGGGGGCCTGACTGAAGCTGGGTTCCCAGTAGGGATTTGGAAAAGCAGCCTTCACTACTGGCATAGGAAGTGCCAACACTTCCATCTCCTCCCTGCATTTCCCCAGGACTCTTGGTCTCAGAGTTGCAAAGAGGTAAGAGAGAGTCTGATCCTGTCCAGACAACGGGCGTGGTGTCCCCACCCTCCCACGAGGCCCCTCTCTCTGTGTGAAGGTCAGAGGAACAAAAGCTCAGCGGAAACTGGGGACTCTGTGGCCGGGAGCAGGCAGACCCCGAGTCTCCCCATCTAAACCGCCAGCGGCTGTGGACACCCGAGTCGCCCAGCCCAGCTGGCTTGCTGGTGATGCACTGCTGGCTCCCTGAGTTCCCCTTCCCTCCAACCCAGCAGGGGCAGGCACGGGAGGGGTGCAGGGCAGGCAGGGGTGGGCCCGAGTGAGGGGGCCCTTCCCAGCAAGACAAGAAGGGCCAGGTGTGAGCGCTGCGTTTCCTGCTTCCTTCGCAGTGTGACCAGTTCCTGAACTTAGCAAGCCTGCTCCTGTCCTGGCTGGCACTAGAGGCACGGTTCCTCTTCCCTTCCACCAGGCAGGAGAGAGAGGCTGAGCCAAGGCTGCAATCCCTGCCTTACCTGCTTCCTCTCCCTCTGGGAGCACAAGGTGGCCCTTCTGTATGCCAGAGGGAGGCCCTTCCAGGTCTCTTAGAACTGCTTGGTGCGGTGGGGACTTCATTGTGGCCTCAGGGTTAGCCCTCCTTGGGTGCTGGGGGCTACACTTGTCCAGGCCTTAGGACCTTGTCTGAAGATGGGACCCAGCTCCTGCCCCACGGCACGTCAGTCAGGCTGTGAAGCCCTGATGGGAAATGGGACCCCGGAAACCTCAGTCAACATCATGGGGAAAGGCAGAGTCTGAGGGCATGCCTGGACCCAGTACTGACGAGAACAGCCCGGCCCATCCCTGCCACCGCTGCCAGCAAGCGCCCAGCTCCCGTGTTCTGGGTCTTCCCCGGAGTCTGGTGGGCTGGTTCTTCTCAGAAGTTCCATGCAGGAATGCCTCACTCCTGACTCTAGAGCCTTCACGGGGGCCGTGCCCTCCCCCTGGGGAAGGAATGACAAGGCTGAGTGACGGCAGACAGCAGACTGGGACTGTCACCAGAGGAAGGGAGGTCAGCATCTCCATGTTCTGGTCCAGCTAGTTCTGACCCCAGGCTCCCCCAGCCAAGACTCCCAAGTCAAGTAGGCGCGATTAGCAGTGCTTTTGTCATAGGCAAGAGGGAAAAAGGGTGGACATTTCCCAGGAACTTCATCCTTTAGGAAATTCCCCTCCAGCCAACGCCAAGGGAGCGGGCTGTGGCCTGGGCTATTTACGCTGAAGGAGGCCAGGAAAGGGGGACGGAGAGGCTCTCCCAGGAAGCCACTCGCTCCGGCCAGAGCATATAACCTTTCTCCCCGCTCAGGTCATGACCAAGAATCCAGTCTTAACCCTGGACAAGCCTTCAAATCCAGCCCTCTCCTGGA